GGATCCAGGCCAGTATGACACTGCACCAGTTTTGCAAGGGCATTATAGCAAAGATACAAACCTGCAAAAGAGTCATCCTGGCGCTGATCCTCCTCAAAAGAAAGTGCCAAAGCTCAACGTAGGAGAAGGTGGCACACGACACCAGACACAGGGGATGCCTGAGGAAGATGCCCTTCCATCAGAGAGAGGAGGCCAAGGACCTGCTACTGAAGCCCAATTATGCAGTGCACCACAGGAAGGTGCTAATGGGGATGATGGGATTTCTAAGAGAGAAATCAATCCACACCCATTAAAAAGCAACACCACAGGAGATACTTCTATGAATCTGATTTTGGAGATTGGGAAGAAAGATACCACTGAGCCGGGTTTGGAATGCCAGAGGGACCATCCAGATCCCCAGGTAAAGAACCATGTTCCGACCTATGAAGTGTTGCAATTTGTATCAGTTCTACTAGCATCTATTCTGTTGTGAATCGTTAAACTCATATATTAATTTGAAATATTTCAAACAATTCAGAACTGGGACGTTTCTGTATTGGCACTGTGGTCTGGGTTGTGGCTATGAACTCCTGTGTTTACATTTCTTGATCTGACAGAAATACTGACACTTTCGGAGTTATTCTGAAAACCAACAGTCAGTGAAGGGATATTTACTGTATTTTTACTCTTAATATACACACACAATTTACTGAGCACCATCAAGTGTCGGTCAAGGTACCTGGTCATGGGTGGTAATTTCCCTTTGACATGGTTAACCCCAGGCAGGGCTGTGTGGTCTATGGTGTGTTAATGGACAAATGGCTTGAGAACTGGGTGGGTTTGGAGTCTACCTATATTTTCTCTTTCTCCCTTCTGTGTGATCACAGTGTTCATTGCCACAAGCCAAGATATGAAAAACAGTACTAGTGATTCCAAATCGTGTGGATTTAAAATAATTGGCAACTCTGAATTTCTAAAAAACTGTTATAAAGCTGTGACAGTGCTGCAATGCTGCTGTTTGAACAAAAAGTAAAGACTATTCCTCAAAGACTAATTTTTGAAATAGCTCTGTAATTAAAACGTTTAAACTGATAGGGCTCCTCATATTAAGTAGAAAGCTTTTGGGAAATTAATAAGGCGCGATTTCTTAATCTAACACAGCCTTTTGTTTAACACACTTCCCTGTAGAGATATGTACTTGTCTAGTCTGTCTTTATATTGTCCTCCCACTCCTCTGAATCTGGCTAAGTTGCTTTTTATACATTGAGCAAAATGAGTCATGTCTTGTGCAGTGTCCACACAGGAGCGGAGAGGTGCTGGGTGAATCACTTGATGAAGGAGTACCAGAGAAGCAGGGTCAGATTTCGGCCAGCATGCCACAGGAAAGCCCAGAGGAGCTACAGGACAGGTGAGTGACGGGGTTGCTTGTCCGTGAAGGGAGAACTGACTCACATTGCTGTACAAAAAGAACCCAAGGACATTTAAACTGAGACCAGACAGAGTTAGAAGCTCCTTGTCTGGGATTTTATATCCTTCACTTTTACACAAGGTCCCGAATCAATATTGATGAAAGATGAAAAGTAATTATTTTTGCATGCATCATGTGTCCGTGAGCTCAGCATAACCATACTAGAACGTAATTATCTGACATCATCATGCATAACTTTAATTACTATTATTAAGTGAATTAGTACTTCAGATGGGCCATGCATATCATATATTATAGACATACTAGACACAATCATTGCATTAATTTTTTTTGTAGTGTTTTGTGTTTTTGGTGTCTATTTAACAATGATGTGTAGTTAAAATGCAACCAGCACTCAAACTTATTTCCACCATTTTTTTGCACATAAAATGGGGGAACTGCAGTTGAATCAGGTACAAGCACATGGAGTGCTGTATTTGTGTAAGAGCTGTGTAATAATAATAATAATGATAATAATAATAATAATTGCTTACACTTATATAGTGCTTCTCTGGACACTCCACTCAAAGTGCTTTACAGGTAATGGGGTCTCCCCTCCACCACCACCAATGTGCAGCCCCACCTGGATGATGCGACAGCAGCTATAGCGCACCAGTACTCTCACTACACACCAGCTATCAGTGGGGAGGGGAGCAGAGTGATGAAGCCAGTTTAGAGATGGGGTTTATTAGGAGGCCATGATTGGTAAAGGCAAGGGGAAAATGTGGCCAGGATACCATGGTAACACCCCTATTCTTTTCAAGAAATGCCCTGGGATTTTAATGACCAACAAAGAGCCAGGACTTCGGTTTTATGTCTCATCTGAAGAACAGCCCTTTTTACAGTATAGTGTTCCCGTTGCTATAATTGGGCATTAGGACCCACACACCGCAGAGAGAGCACTCTCTACTGACGCCATTGTGAGTTGCATTTGTGATATGGCTGCTGGCGTACACATGAACTCTTTCGGCTGCATGGCATGATCCCAAGTACTCTTTGTAGTATGCAGATCTTGTATTCGTCGTGTGACCCTGCTGTATCTGAGGTAGCAAACTGCGTGGAGCAACGGTTTCAAAAGTGTTACTATCTTCTGGACTGATATGATCAGGTGCTAAGAAGTCTGCCCTGGTCAGCGCTAAAATAGACCCTCAAAAAAACAAAGCTGTACATGGTGTTAGTGGACCAAAGCCTTCCATTGGGGCCCTGATTTCCAAACCAGTGTCACCATATGAGACTTTAAAGAGATGCTTTTAGATGCTTGTGTATGTTAAAAAGAGGTTATGACTATTAAAGCTAATTAAAGATCTTTATCAGAGTAGGGGTCTGTGGAAGAGCCCTCTTTTATTGGGTAGGCTGGCCAGGGGGTTTCCACATGAACTGTAACCTTATCTTTCCATAACCTCTGAAGTCTCAACCCTCAAATAGGTCTCAAAGTGGCAGTAACCTCTCTCGGTCTATTCCAGTTGGCCAGGTGTGCTCGTTAACTGTCTTCCTACTTACCGGCGTCCCAACCCAGAAAACAACCGAAGCCACTATCATAACCTAATCCCACTACACCTGCTTCCTGCTCCATAATCTTGAGGGCTCTGTGGAAAGACAACGACTCTGGCCCTTGAAGACTCACCCATGCTTCCAATCTCAGCTTTGCTACAGGGTCTTAACCCTGATCTGACTAAATTTCTCACTTCCCCACCTGATCCACTATGTAGTGGGATTCCTGTGTTGATGCCTTATGAGTGTTTTAAGTTTTGTTCTTAATCAGTCTAAAGAAGACTGTCAGCAAAAAGTAGAAGGTTGAAGTGATCTGTTCACTGAGATTTACTAGTATTCTTGCATTGCATTGTGTTTTAATTAGTCATTGCTGAGATGCAGCATTCAAAGTAAAGCAGATGTTGAATGGAGAGTTAATATATGTCTACTGTATGTAAATGCTCACAGAGTGTGCAACACTGGATCTAATAATACATTGACCCATAAGAGGAGGAATATGCCCAGGCAGAAAGCACAATAGGCCTCTAAAATAAGGAATGCGTTCCTCCAGGCCTAAGGGAAATGTGCAGCAGCCTGCTGTGAGATGTCTTAATAGTAATGTGACAGTCAAAGCAGCTACTCAGGGAAGGAGTTAGACGGTAGAGGGAGGGAGTGGGGCTGAGACAGAGGCTGGCATCAAGATGAGGATGCACAGATCTCCTTTCATCTCTCAGACTTGGGTTCTTAGATGGGGCAGAGAGCTGCAGATATTGAAGGGATCTCATTCTGGATTAGGAGTTTATCGAGGGAGCCAAAAGTCGCATGTCCTGCTTGTGAATTGGAGCTGAGTCAGAGTTAGCAGCACTTGCTAATATGCCGATCATGAGCAGATCTGGGTAGGTACGGAACACTTTTCTGAGATTTCTCATGCATTTTTTGGTTTCATTGCATATTCATTTCTGAGGATGTCTTTAAATGTAAAACAATACTTCATTGCCGTTTTACCCTAGGAAAACTGCAGACTGCTGATGCAACAACAATACAAATTCTCTCTGGCTAGACTTACATAAGCATTTTGTTTTATATAGTCTAACCTGTAATTGCTTTAACACGATTAGGGAAGGAACAGGGAACATAGACACATAATTTAGAATAAGATATCTCGAGGGATTAGAACTGTTTCGTTTATAGGTAACTATTGAGGAATATTTTCATGTAATGTTATTATTATTTTGACTTTTTAGTGTTGACTTTTAGTTCATGAGTGTGCATGTGTGCAGTGCCAGTTTTCATTTTGTTGTTGTCATGATAATCGTGCACTAATTCAAAGCAACATCTGTTTGATTCATATTTTTGGACTATTAAAAATACACCTGGCAATTGAAATGTTTTGAAGTGATCAATCTGTGAAATAACTTGCAAAAAAAGTTCTGCAGGTATTATTTGTAGTTCAGTGATTTGTCCAAATTTTCAGCTGTAATTTTAGCCTTTGATTTACAGAATTCTTCTCAGAGCAAGCATATGGACGGCTTGTACTATAGTATGAAAAAGGTTAATTAAAAAGAAATAGTAGATATTGGTTGTGTCCTACCAATTAAAGGTAGAAGTAAATAAAACTGGATTTTGACCAAGTTAAAACTCTAACCTTGGTGGCCTGATGCAGTTTCGGAACTTTAGATGGGAATTGACACACCCACTGCTGCCCTGGGAGACACAACATTCCCCCGAGCGAGCACATTTCTCCAGGTGCTCAATTCAACTATCCCCCTATCAAGCTGGCACGCTATAATCTGATTAATCCAGATTTTTTATTTAATTCCTGAAATGCTACAGGAATGGTGCCCTGTCATTGAGATAACTGTGCCAGAACAGCACTCTGCTGTGCTGAGTTACTAAAGACGTACAAACCAGCAAACGTGACACCCCAGACTCTAAGACCAGAGATCCAAGATCTGAGACGTGGATTCTGCCTGCCTCCATTCTGAGGGGCATCCTTACCCTGCTTGTTTCTGTCTGCCACAGTTCCCCTTTGTCTCTTGGTTAGTCATTCCAGATTCTCCTTGGCTAACTCCGCCAGCCTCCGGAAAATACAGAGCCCCGGCAATTGGATCTACACAGACTACCTGGAATATGTCCAAAAGGCAAAACGACTCAAGCCCTCGACAGGTGCGCTGGGTAATGTTCTTCTCCCAGTTCAACTTCACATTCTTGTACCATCCGGGAATCGAGAACAGGGAAGGAGATACCTGCAGAAGATCTATGCCCTGGACAAGGCTCTGTTGTAACCCACAACCATGATCCCACAACACCAGTTTGGGGGGGGCAACTTGCTAGAAGTAGACGAGGCTATGTTGGCAGCACTGGCCTCCAACCCAGCTCGCCCAGGCACTCTGCTGGACGAACAATTTGTGCCGCAGCAAACCAGGCAAGAGTTACGAAAATGAGGCATTCCTCCATACTGGCAAGACACCCCGGAAGCCAGAGATCTCTGGAGCTCATCCGCCACCGCTTCTGGTGGCCATCCAAGAGGGCCAATGTGGACATGTACAGTATTTGACAGCATGGCATATCTGCAGCTGGGATGAGAACTCTCGCACAGCCTTAGCTGGTCTGTTACTTTCCCTGCCAGTACCCGATCGTCTGTGGTAGGACATCTCCAGCTTCACGGGTTTCCGACCTCTGTCATCTCCAATCAAGGCCCCCAGTTCATCTTCACATTCTCACAGTCAGAGACATGGTATCCAGATTGATATCTCCCCACGGTACCACCCTGAGACTAATGCCCAGATGGAGTTTGGGAATCAAGACTTGGAGACATACTGTACCTGCACTGCTGCATATCAGCTTTCCAGGACGAATGGGCTCCTCTGCTCCCGACAGCTGACTGGTCAGCTCACAATAGGTATTAGTGAGCTTTGAATGCCAGTATAGGTTTCAACCCCTTCTCCTCGGGTGGCCTCGGACCCCACGGATGTCCCTGCTTCCTGCAGGGCTGTGCGAGATCTGAAGGGGGGTCTTGTGAGTTGTATGGGCCAATCTGTGCAAAGCCACACAGTGCCAGGAAAGGATAGCCAACCACCACCAGAGACTTGCCCCTCATCAGAGACCAGGACAGTGTGTGGCTTTCCACCAACCCCCTCTGTCTCCTCCTGCCATCGTGGAAGTAGGCCTCTTACAAAGTGGTGAAGTGCATGATCCTAGAATACTCAAGCCCCTTTGGATCCTGAGTTCACTCTGGGTCTGAAACAGCCTACAGTACCTGGTTCACTGGTGGGGCTGTGATATTATCAACAGTAATGTTGACAGTGGCATTATCAACAACCAATTTATTACAGTTTTGACTACAGTTTACACTCCTCAACAACTTTAAAGATCAAAATGTGGTTCGTATGGATTTGATCACGACTCGGGACATCTGACATTATGTGCTATTTATATGAAAATTCTTCTCAGTATCTGTGGTCATTAGCTTCTTTAAGAACGATTTGACAGGATATTCAAAAGTAAAACATTTGAACATTTGAAAGTTGAATGTCGCTTTCATTTCTGTCACATTTTGTTTTGTTCATCTCTTCAGATTCTAATATTTTTCACAGAATATTATTATAGGAGAAGTGTTAAGAGGAATTTCTTGCACAAATATTTCCACATTTACAGACCTACATAACGTGAAGTTTTGCTGGTTTCTTCAGATGTTTGACAGAGACAGAAAGGCACCTAAAAGGACTCCTTCCCTTAAAAGAGATGTGGAGCTGGAAGAGGAAGAGAACTGTCCCTGAGATCCGGGTCAGAGGAATGACGTTGGAAGGGGCAGAGGCTGATTTCACCAGTTTGCATCACGAATGTCAGACTTCAGAACTGGAACAAAGCGTCTCTGAAATGCAGGATAGAAACAGACAGAACACTGACAAGAGCCCTGAGTCATCGACCAAGAGCAGCCCTGAACAAGGTAGGTTGGAACATGTGTTATGTTGAGTTACTTTACAACCAGAACCACTGGAGCAGCTCTTGTATGTATTCGCAGTATTCTGAATGTTGAAAACAGTCTCCGTTACTTGCAGCTTTATGTGTAAAGTGGTTTTATTAGCTAATATCTTACCGTATTCTCCATAGTAAGCTAGTAACCACTAGTCTTGATTTTTCATGACAGTTTTCTGGGGATTCTAATAATTAATTTAATAAAATATATATTTTTTACCAAATGCTGCCAATAATATTCATGTTTTTTATTTTATTCGTTTCTAGAGAACAGTTGCTTTTAGTTGTAGGACCACATGAAAGACAGGCCATTGTACTCATTTGGTAGTTTAGGAGCCAAATGATTCAAAACTTTTGTTTAGCCAGTTCTTGAAGAAGTGTAGTTTCTCAACCATTTCACTGGTACCATAAAGACATAGGAAAACTTATAAACAAGAGCTAAAATGGATCAAGTGGCCTCTTTGGTTGTTAGTAGCTACAGTAGTTTATTAATTTCTTGAAAGAACCCAGAACAACATGCTTGGTTCTTTATCCATACTCTTACAACACTTTGGGTAAAGAAGTGAATGTAGCATAAAATCTATATTTGATTCATTTTTTCTGAATTATTGAAACAGTAGCAGTTTCCTGTCTTAAAATTGTACACACTACTATATTGTAAATGCACAAGTAAGGCCTTGAGCCATGACGTTTAGTACATTAATTTAAAATCTACACTTTTAACTTTATCCTGGAATAGTATGTTTCAGCATAAACCCTTAACACATAAACATATCACTATCTTGTTTAAAATTAACTTTTTTAAGCCTTTCATTGTGGTTTTCAAACAATTACATAGCATTAAGACATTATGTTTCGGTTGGTGTTTCCGAGATTGAGTTGATTACATCTGGTGTTCCCCAAGGCTCATTACTGGGGCCTTTGCTACATAGCATTTATTTGCTTCCTACTGCCCAAAAACATCATGGCATTGTTTCAGTTCGGCCGCAACCCAGTTTGATAGAGAGGAGGGTGACAGAGGACAGGCAGAAAGCAGTTAGGCAGTTTCACAAAGATAGGTGTGCATTGCCCTTCTTGGTTCCATTTACCAAGAGGAGATAAGGAGAGAGAGATACTGTAGGTGTGGACAAAACGGGAATGCAGTTTCCCACAGCTCTCCAGCTCTCACTCTGAAAGAGAGTGAGTGCTCATAGGACACCCTTTTATAGAGTACAGTAGGCGAGGGGAGGCTGCTGTTCAAAGTCATGGGGCAAGAGTACAATCCACATCTCCAGGGGGAAGAGGAATGCTACTTAGCCCCTCCCTCCGATTCCTCATCCCCGAGGAACATTTGGAAGTCCCGAAGATGGATGGATTAGTGACAACTGTGTGTAGAGGCACAGTCTATAACTCCAGGGGAGAGTGGAATGCTACAGTAAGATTGATAATTTCCATGGAGTTTATATTTAAATTTTAATCCACAGTAAACCAGAAATTGAGTTTGTTGTACTAGTACTTCTTGATTACACTTTTAATAGAATATAAATACTCAAAATACTTTGTGTTTTAATAATAGGCATGTTATAAGTTTCTTCCACTGAGTTAATAAACCAGTTGCTGTAATCTACTGATGCTCCATGCTCATGTTTCAATCCAAAATGAAGAAAGTGGGGTGATCTTCCATTTTGATGATCCCTAATTAGTTTTGAGCCTCATGTTCAGAATCCTGACTTAAGGACTTAAGGTCATCACTACTACACTTTATATTGACTTCCTAATGGGTTTTATGTTAATTTTAAATAAGATGCTTTTGCTTAGATTCATACAACATGTATATTTGTTGTATGGGTTCTTGGTATGTTGCTAATATGTTAGCTGTTTACACCTCTACTTGTGACCTTCACTTGACTGATCCTGGTTTATTCTGACTTCCCTGTTATCAACACTTTGTGGGTGATGACCTTGTGTTGCTGTGGTCCAAAGCTCTGGAACACCATCCCAAGGGAAGTCAGAGACTAAGTCACATTGTATGCTTTTAAATCTAACCTGGCTTTTTAGGAAAACAAAGTGCATATTTTATATTTTGAGTTTGCTTTTTTAGCTTTGTAATATTCTTTAATTATAATTTTTCATGAAATGGGGTTTTGTGTATCATAAATTGCTTACAGATTTTGTTTCATGGAGCTATATTTATTCTTTACTCTTAGCCTTGCCCTGTGCTTTACAGATCTGCTTTAATATTAACGGGATGTGCAGGTTTTTCAAGCCCTAGTGCCAGCACTCCTGCTGAGTCACCAGATCTGTTAGATGAGGCTGCTGACTCATGCTTCCCTTCAGCAACTAGACACACTATACAGTCAAGTGATATAAATAAAACGGACTTCTCCCTGCCCTTTAGAAAATGTCACTGTCACAGTAAGCACTGGGATCCATGTGTGAAACTGTTGCTTTACAGTTTAAAATGTCATTTTAAGCTCTTGATCAGTTTTACATGCTATCAAAAAAATGTCTGGAGTGCAGAAACCTCTGTACAATAGGTAGTTGTAAAGATGGGAGATAATGATCATTATTATAAACATAACCTCTCATGCCTAATGAGACATAAAAGAGGCCTTTTCTGTTAGATTTTATATTTAAATGTGAGGCACACAGGGGTTGTGTGACCTGCATGTTCTCACTCCCTTGACTATATTAAAACATGTTAGTGTGGTGAGACTAAAAAAAAATTCATTCATCTTGTTTATTTTTGTGAATTTATTGTTAGATTTGTGTTTGTACTTTGCCATGTGATCTGGACTGTCTTGCTGGAAAGCCATATCTGTTGATTTTATGTTTCACACACGCTCTGATGTGGCTTTTTAGTAGGGCCACTGCCCGAACTGTATCGTGAGGTAGGGGAGTGTGTCATGATCTGAATCATTCATTTGTATTAATAGTGCTCAATTTTACTTCCACTTGTTTATTCTGAAATCCTGTCCTATCTGTATTTAATTTTGTTATTTTTGTTTCTGGGAAAGGTTGTGTAACTATATTGATGTTTGCTGTGAATCCCTTTGTGGATCATTGTTGAGGAAAGTTATGGTTATTGCAGCTTAAACTCAATTTTCTCCCAAGATGTCATCTTGCTATGGTTTAATAGACGGGTCTCAGGAAAACAGACACAAAAGGCAGCTGTAACTCACATTACGAGTGCTACATTTATTTATTTTGCGAGAAAACATAGCAAACCAACAAAGAAAACAAAAGCTTAAGCTCTTCTTTCAGATTCTGCCTAGACATCATCCTTCTCTGCCTCTCTGTCATTACTTGAGCAGCTGAGCTGCTTACCAGCTTCAAAGCAAACTCTCAGAATGAAACCTCAAAGCTCAGACTACACAAACTCCCAGTCCTCCACAGAATCCTTTTCTTCTCTTTCTAATCTTCTCTTTCTTCTGGAAGCCTCAGCTTCCTGGTTTTTAAATTATCATCTGACCTTTGTCTTTCAGGAATTTGTTAGAACACTAGGGGTGGCAGGACATTTCCCTCAGCTTTGTGGGAAATGTAATAGTTCAGGCCAGAGCTGAACTATTAAGCCTTCTTGCCTGAACCTGCTGTCCTCTCACTAAGGTTGGAAATTGTTCTTTTTTTCTACAACAGGTTGAAATATCATCATCCTAAGATCAGTAATATTGAAACAGTATTCTAAATGAGGTTTCACTAGTACAGTATATTGTTATTATTTAAAAAATAAAATTCCACAATTTTTTAAAATTTTGAATTTCTATGACAATAACCTTTCTTATTGCTTCTCTGCATTGTCTTGATGAGACCATAGAAGCATCTATATAAACACCCAGAATCTTTTCATGTATAGCTACCTGTATCTCTGGATCAAACATGTGATATGTACTGTACAGTACAATACATGTTCATATTATTAGTGCAGATCACTTAGTATTTATTAATGTTAATAATAATTAATCTTTAATTTTTCATTTGATTTTGTACTTTATTTCTTGCTTCAATTTCTTTGCCACTCCCTCTATTTTTGTTACAAGCAAAATTAACTACCATTCTAGCTTTATCAGAATGTAGATTGTTAATATAGAGCAACAAAACAAAGCAGATCCCCACAGCATGCCAGTACTTACATCTATCCAATTTCAAATTGTTCCGTTAAGGTGACCTGGTGTTTCATATTTATTAACCTGGATCCACATACGTTTGTGTTCCTATATTTATAATTTAATAATCAGCCTTTCATGGGGTATATACTTCTTCCAATACATAGAAGAGTTAGAAATATGCAAGCTAGGAGTATGTACAGTAAATAACATCCCCTGTTTCTTTATGTACAGTATAACTGTGAAAATACAATTGGTTTATAGTGATTTAATGTTTTAAGGACCCAGCTCCTTAGAACACAGTGTCAGATACAGTATGTGAAATTATGGGACATGTTATTGACATCTTATTTTGTAGAAACCTATGTGAATTATTTACTAGTATGTTGATCAATTTTTTAAATCATTTTCTTTATTAACCATCTATCATTTCCTAACTTATTAAATCAAATTTTTACAGTTTGCTTACTGTTGTAGTATTGGACAAAGGTTTTCGTTGTTTTGTGTCTCTAATACTGGATTTGTATTATTTTCTGTCTCAAAATATCTCCTGTCCATCTCTTTATACTTTATGCTCTGCTTTTCTACAATTCCAAACCCCAGTGTTTAACTCATATTTTAGAGATTGAAAGTATGAATCAAAACATACTAAATTGTGACTATTTGTACGAGTGTATCTACATTGAAAAGATGTCTATAGGTCAATAAGATTATTTTCCTACTTGATGCTGTTGGGGAAAAAATACCTGAAAGGGTACAGTAGGAAACTTAAAATTAGATATAGTCTATGTGTGCAGAGGTTAATGATGGAGGTACTATATCAGCAAGTCTGTCCCTAACTCCTCAATAATACAAGCCTATTAATAGATGTTTCGGTATCTCCTTAAGGACACTTTCCATTGCAGCAGGAAAAGGGTTGTGCCTTGATTGATGTCTTCTTTCCATCTTAAACTTTAAACAGCAGTTGCTGTAACAAGGCTCTTTAAAAGATTCTCAAATGAAATAAATGTGCCATAATCATGAAATGTTTTTTTTTTTTCTGGTAGTCTTGCATTACTACAGTACAACAAGCCCATGCAATAACATCACTTGCACATGCTTTGCCAAAAACTGTTCAGAGTATTGAGATGAATACCCCGTATATACTGAAAGACTTACCCGGGCATTTAGACATCAGGACCTACTCAGATATTAAGATGGACCATGTGTTTTAAGAAAACGTCCTTACTACATGTTGTTTTCTTTATGACAGATGATCAGAAAACTGCAGGTTCACAAAAGACAATAACAATGAGCCCTCAAAAGAGGAAGACTCGTCTTCTACAGCAGCTTTGAAGGCTTATCACTTATCACTTCCTATAAAACATTTCTGTGAGAATTCCTATCTTTCTTTTCCAGAATTCCAGAGAGCATCTGCAGTCCGTGTCAATATCTCTGATGTAACTGTTTCAGCTCCAGAAATTGAGAAGGATCTTCCCTTGGACTTGGAGAACAGTAATTGGGAAATAATGCAGTTTGGTAGCCCAGAATATCAGAATACAGTCAATACTGGTTCACGATTGCTCTCTGCTAGATATCCTGTAGGCTGTAAAGAGAGTCACACATTAATTAACAAGGCAGTACAAGATTCAGTGTGGTACAAAGCTCAAATTGGCCAACAAGCAAAATGTTTGCTTACAGTTAACAGCAACCCTGAGACGATACCATCTTCAGATGATACTGGAGTGAAAAATAATCAATCTGTGTCCCTCCAGGCTTGTACTGAGGTAGAAAAGAATGAGAGAGAGTACCAGCTTATTAATCAACCCGCATATACTACTGAAAGCTCTCTTATTGAAATCACAGCTCCAGTTAAAGAAATTGCTACAGACAACCTGAGCAAGGATAGTCTGCCCCTTGCTGCTGACAGTGGAAAGGCAGACAGCAGAGGTTTTGGAGATGAACCTTTAGAGAATTATGGAAAGTTGACTTACCCCCTGAGTTGTGAAGGTCAGAAATCCACAGAAAAGGACCACCTGCCAGAGAAAATACTTGGAAGTATGATGTCTTTAGCTGCTGAAGACCAAAAAAGTTCAAAGGTTTTAGATGATGCAAAAGCCAAAATACACACCACCTCACAATCTAATAAAACAGGAATCCTTGAAACTTGTCCAGAATTTTGTTCTGCAAACCTAGAGGTGCAAATGCTACACAAAGAAAAGCATATCACACAGAAAGCCGAGGCTTTTACAGCCTTAAAAGTCTTAGCCTATGAGGAGACTTTATCTGAAATATTGTCCCCTGTAGATGAGGTTCTTTCATATGGGAGTGCTGAACTCCCATCCATAGCAGGAGCGCCTAAATTTTGGTACACTGAAGCTTCTCTTACACCTCCTCCTTCTACGGATAATATTACAATGACTAGTGAAGATGATTTCCCTCCACCTCCAGCAGAAATAGTTCAGCTCCAAGTGGGCAATAACTCCACCGAAGATGACAGATCTATCAAGAGCGAAGACTTACCTTCTCTCTCAGAAGATCTGTCCGTGCCTGTGGTTGTGTGTGACGCTAGTGAGAAAAAGGCTATCCCTTGTGTGGGAGAAACTGCAGGGTCAACAGAGAGAGAGACTATGAGAGTGAACTCTGCCAAAATAAAAGGTCACTTCCTGCTGGACAAAGATGAAGTATCCTCCTCTCTAAATAATAATAAGATATTAAGTGAAGAGCAAAATAACAATGAAGACCAAAAATCTAAGCTTTTTGTCTCTGTTTCTGCAGAAGATGACAGTGATGAAAGCTCTGACCCATTGTCTTCCTTTGAAATTGGCCATCGAGTGTTAGTTTGCCACACCAAGCCTGGTGTATTGAAATATAAGGGTCCTACCAGTTTTTCAGCTGGTTATTGGGCTGGTGTGGCCCTGGACAGCCCAAATGGACACCACAATGGGACATTCAGAGGTGTCCAATACTTTGAATGTGCAAAGAACTGTGGTGTGCTGGTCAGAGCTGAAGATATTTCACATCCGCTTGGGGAACAAGACAGTGACTTGGACACCAAAGCAGATGACGATCCCTTCTCAGATGATGAGCCACCAAAGAATCTCAAATCAAACCAAGAAAGGAGTAAATGTACCACATTGTCTGAAAAAACATCAGATGGAAATACAGACAGAAATCAATACCATGGTATGGATGGGTCAACAGCCCCAAAAATGTATAGTAATAGCCTTTATATGGTGGAGATGAGGAAGACACATCTTCAGATGTCTGCAGACCTTATTGAAGAGGAGTCTATCTACGAGGCATCTACATGCTCAGTATCTAAATCCAGTTTAATAGAGATAAACCCCCTCCAGCAGGTAATTTATGAAGCTGCCAGGGCAGTGGAGGAATTTGCACAGTCCAACTCCCCACTAGAACATGGTCCAGGCCTGGATAATGTTGATCAAACCACAAAAGCTGTTTGTGACCCTTCCTTGTTTTCAGCCAAAACTCCAACAGAAAGATGTGGTAATAAAGGTCCCTGTGATGACTGGATTGATACCAATCTCATCCAGTCAGACAGTCATGAAATTCCAATGATGGGACTTTCCAAGTTGAGAGACTCAGAAAGAGGACTGGCTGTCTTCTTGCCACAGCATACAAAGAATGTGGAATCTACCAATGGTCGTGATCTGGATCTTCTTGTGGACAGACTTGCTGAGAATCTGGTAAATGAGGCTGTAAGAGATGCTCTGGAGATTAAGAAAATGCAAGACACCAGTGACAATCTGAAGGATAATCCATCCAGCAAAGATCCAGTAAGTATGAAAGCCATTTTTTTCCACATTGAGCTATATGTATTATATGTGTTATAAGAAATGTTGCAATTGGTAATTGTGCAACACCAAACATGACACATTCAGTGTAGTCTTAAAATACTCTTTATTTTAAGATTTTTGCATTCTTTACTCTCCTGTAAAGAGTATCCTTTCTCACATACTAAAACAAGGGCTAGAATGGAAAATGCAGAAGACTGGCAAATAGAAGTCAAAAGGTTTATTGATTAACCTTTCTGGCCTTCATTTGCATGCTGTAAAATTGATTTTGTTTACTGTGGCATGACCAGAATGACCTAATAGTGATCCTTTTATAAGGGAGTCTTGCTAAACAGACACACTAGCACAGCCATGAGGTAGAAATAGTGTTCTATTATTTACAGTGCTATTAACAGAAAAAACTACAAAAAACCTAGCTCTCTTCAAGCTCTAGTTGCACTTATTCTCTGAAATCCTTCTCCATCCATCCAGGCAGCTACGGTGCTTATTAATTTCCAAACACAGAATTCTCTTCCAAAGATTTCACACTTCAAAAACACTCATTCCACCCATGTCCAGTTGCCTCCCTCTAAGAAATGAGATATCTGAGGATGGCAAGTAATTCTCCATTACTTTCTAGGGAATGTGGTTTAGACAAGAACCTGTATCTTGTCTCCAACAACCATTGTATTAGATAAAACTTTGACTGGAAGGAGTAAACTTCAGAAACAGGTAGATCAAAAATAATCAAAGTATATTCACCCTCCAGGGGAGCATCGTGCTTGGTAAGATCGAGGAGAATCAGAAGAGAATAAACCAGCTGTGCTTCAGGGACGTCTGGTCTTGTGCGATATCTCCAGAGCCTGTATTGGAGAGTAGCGTCCCACCCCACAGCCCTGAGATTGTGCTCAGTTTGGTGGGGGCTGCTGTGGAACAGCTGTGGAATCACAGAGAGGGTCCGGGACTCAAGAAGTACCAAGTGCCTGACATGGGCAGAGTGCCACCCCACCTGGTGAACGAGGAAAGCCGCAGAGCCTACAGACAGGTATGTGTGCTACCCCTTGAGACTGACAACGAAAAGCAATTTCACAGACATATAACCAAATAAATCCATGTGATATACTGTAGGTTTTAAGTGTACAGTATGCTTCAATTATGAATGCCCCACACTTTCCAAGACTTACAAACCTTAATTTTAACAGAACATCCCTTGATTTGAATTCTGTGCTTTTAACTTATCTGTTCTAGCATTTTGTTTACCCTTTTAATCACTTCCCCATATTGTCTAGTAAATAACATGTCAACGTAAACACCTTCTTTATATGTAGCCTCTTCTAGCTGAGCATTTTCCATTTTGTATTTATAGTTTGCTTTTACTGTACTACCCTGCACTTGTCTACATTAAACATCATCTGCCCGGTGCTTACCCAGGCAGGTAATCCTCCTAATTTGGTATCATCTGCATACTTGACTAGTTTACTAACTATTCTAGAAAATAGATCATTGACATAATCTAAGAGCTGTAATAGTTGTAGTATAGATCCCTGTGGTACTCCACTAGTTGCATAACTCAAATTTGAATGCCCATCACCTGCAATTTGAGAATTAATCTCTTATGGGGAACTTGATCGAATGCCTTCCGAAAATCTAAATACACCATATCTTATGCCATATGTGTATTTATTACTGTTGTTGCTTGTTCAGAGAACTCGAGCATGCTGGTTAGGCAAGACCTACAGTACCTTTTTTAAATCCTTGCTAGCTATTTCCTTAGGATAACATTTCCATATAGGGTGATCCTCTAGTTTAGTTCTTATAATCATTTCCATTAACTTTCAGAAGTCAGCTTTTTTAATCTATAATCACGTGGTTCAGTTTTCACACTCTTTTTATGAAAGGGCACTATATTAGCAATTCTCCAGTCCCTAGGCTCTAATCCTGTCTTAAACGACTGTTGGAAGAGTTGAATGAATGGTCCCTCATTTCCTTGAGTACAATTGGTAAGATACCACCAGACCCAGAGAATTTATTCGTCTTGAGTGAATCTAGTACCTGAAACACTTTTACGTCTTCTATGGAGGATGATTGAACTAGTATGCAGAAGATACCAAATTGAAGTTCCCCAGGCATCTCTGATCAGTACAACAAGACCATAAACAAGTCTCTCTTTTCAGGTCATATTCGATCTCACCTCGGACTTATTCCACAGTGCCTTTAAAAGTGACCAGGTACCCAGTTATCCATTTCCTGGGAAAGGAGGCTCTCCATTCTCGGCAGTCCTGTACGCCAAGACTTCTCTCTCGGATATCAAGGTAATATTAAAGGAAATTAACTCTTCCATCCATTTTCCATCCGCTTCTTCCACTTCAGGGTCGGAGTGGACCCGGCAAGTATCAGGCACAGGGCAGGGTCCACCTTGGACAGGACGCCAGTGTGACTGTCGCGGTTCCGCGCGGGCTCGTGCCCTCGCCGCTCCACCCCGCGGGCTCGTCCCGCAACACCTGGGCGTAAACCCGGGTCTCCGGCATAACGCAACAGGGAACCAGCCGAGTGAGCCAAAGGAGACTTCTCTCCCTCAGCCCAGGCAATGACGTCACCATGCCCAAACTAGCTCCGCTACACCAGTCTATCGCAGGGCATACACACACAAACACACACACACACTCGCACAGTTTTTCCCAGAAGGCATTTACCCTACCAGTATGTCTTTGGGAGGAAACCCCTTCAAACACAAGTAGAATATACAAACTCCACACAGACAACACCCCAGGTCAGGAATTGAACCCAGAGCCCCCGCGCTGTGAGGCACCAATGCTAACTACTGCACCACTGTGCCGCCAGGAAAATATCCTTCAGGCCTTCAAGGGAAAATCATTCACTACTTGATGGAGTCAAGGAATTTAAGAATAAAACAGTGTAAAAATAATGGTGACGCTGAGTGGGAGGTGATTTAAAACATTGACAAAAAATTGTATTTTGCCGCCTTATGTTGAGGTTGAGTAGTTTCATGTGAGTACAAAGCCATTCTTTTACAAGTAGCCATGTCTTAGAGATGAACATTCAGTTATTAAGCGTAAAAATTGGCCTGGGTATTAATCTTGTATCTTCCCTTCTGAAAAGGGTTGAGGTTTGTATCGTTGATTACCATCAAATCATTGAAGAGCAGTCATACAATTTCCTGGGTCAAATCTTGCGAACTGGAAGGCCAAGACTATTTGTTTATATAAAATAAATTAAAAGACAAAAACACCTGTCTTTCCATACACAACAAACAAGCCATCAGGTGTCTTGTGAAGCTTATTCTTTTTCTTTAGAGCACCTACACTATAGTTAAGTATTCTAGGACAAGCTGTGTTGGCAGATTTTTCAGTATCCCAAATTCTCATACATTGTGGTTGTAAAATAGTGATGCGTCCCAGAATGTTTGCTTTCAAACACATATTTCATTTGTTTTGTACCATCAACATCACTGGCAGCAGGTAAATACTATTTCATGAGATCAGCAGCTCATTCTGAAATGCTTTTCTTTGTCTGCTAAGACAACTTAGAACCAAATACATGCCACAATGTCTCGATACTGCTGAACAATGCAAAAGAAACTCACCTTTATTTCAAAAATCAATAAAGCATTAATGCAACTCAACCAATGGGTTTCCAGTTAATTCATCTGCAGCAATGCCATGAAACCACAACCTTCATTGCTGTGTTGATCCTGTACAGTATATTACATATTATTACTTAATTGCAACATTCTGCAGTGTGCTTGAATCACAGGTGGACCAGAGCTGGAGTATCTGAGCAATTTCTTGGATTATAGGGGAATTGTCTCGTCTCTCTCAGGGCTTCATCCAGTGTGAAGTGCAGAGGCAGCTGAACCTGGGGCGTAGTGAACAGCAGATGAAGAGGCTCTTGCAGACAGGCTCCACGTATGGGAAGGTACAGAGGGACATGGTGGATTGCATTCTGGTAAGCAGGAAAGGGCAGGATATCTGGTGAAAAGCTGGTTCGCAACATGTGTACAATGTGCTGCTGTGTGAAAGACTGCTTCAGTGAGCTTGTCCAGCAGAGAGACTGGGTGTTTGTTTTAATGTAAGCTTCTCCTTCTAGGCCAGAAATTAATGTTCAAAGGCTTCCTCAATTACAGTGAATTAATTTAGCATTCTTCCTGTTTGTACTGTATAACAAGCATAACACAGTCCTCTCTGTGCTTTGTAAAGAAATGTATGGAATTTCAATGCAGACTGAGTGGCAGACAAATGCACTTGAAGTTGTCCATCTTCCAGCAGATGTAAGGAGAAAAAAAGAGTATAGTTTTGCTTCCAGCTGCGTAATTTGGAACGTCACTGGAAAACGCTGAGCCCCTTTCTGTCATTTGGGTTTGCTTTCTGTGGTGCAAAAAGATTTCAGTTATAGAAGTGGAAGATTGTTCCCGAGCTGAGGTCTTTAGAGAATATGGGGTTGATTTTTTTCTTAGCCTGGGTCGACTGAGTGAGTGTGTTTGAAATGATGTGGGAGACTGGAGGAGGGAGTTCCATTCACAGGGGACTGTTCAGACGAAGGGGGGGCAGAAATTAAAAGGATGCTTGTCCTCACTTCTCCCACATCTGACTGCTGCCCCAGATACAGGAGCTACGAGAGGAGGAGCCAAAGTGGCTGGACTACAGCTCGGATGAGCTCAGCGTGAAGATGAAACTGACGGAAGAAATCTTCGACGCGCTCCTCCAGGATACCATCCACATACTTGACCACATCTACACAGGTCCCCTTGGTGTCACCTCACCAGAACCTTTTCAACCAGAATAAACACATCTTTCTCTCCTGTCAGTGAAAACACAAACACTTTTCTCATGTGTTGATGTATATGTTCCGGTGGCTTAGCCTTTGTTTGCCTACTGAGTGGGAGATTTTGATATTTTAAATTGACACAACTTCAGATTGCCTGTGAGACTTGCGATCATGTACCAGATTTTAAAATAAATAACATTTACATGTTATAATGGATTTTTTAATAAAAAGAAGGCAACTGAATCAGGTACAGATGTGAAGATGTAGCTGTCTGCTAAGATTGTAAGAAAGAGGCATTGCTTATTATACCAGGGAGTGAAAATTATGTTTGTATTTTTACAGGTTATTTTTGTGAGTGGAATACTATAATTCTTTAAGAATTAATAGTGTAAAATGAAGACCTATCCCTATACCTGCTAATATTTCACAGCATCTTTCAAGTCTTCCATGTTTCTGAATTGTTCCCTGAATTGTTTGACAATCTATATTGTTCATATGATAATAGCCACCTCAGGCAAATTTTATATGTTTGTACCAAGGTATGCACTATTTCTTCACTAAGCAAAATGATGCATACATATTTTTCAACTTAACAGCTCATTTAAAACCTGAGCAATCCCACTGAAGACTTTAAAGAGTAGGCAGAGTTGCAGTCAATGCTGGCAAAATGTGTACTGAAATATGTTGATTGCATAAGTATTCAGACCCATGAGCTCAATATGTGACCTTTGGCAGCAATTACAATCTCACATCTTTTTGGGCAAGTCTCAACCAGCGTTGCACATTGGTTTGGTGCAAGTTTAGAACATAAAAACAAGAGATTTTGTAAATCAGAAGAGGGCCCTTCTCTCCTCTAACTTGCATTGCTGTAGTTCTCAGGGTGCCATCCCTAACCACATTCCTCCTTACCCTGCTCTCCAGTTCGATGGACAGTCTGATCTAAGCACTGTCTGTGTGCCTTCTTGATGATAATGATAACTACACCATGCTAAAGGAAATATTATATATACTGTAAAAGCCCTTCAGATGTTTTTATACCCTTCTCCTAATCTGTGTTTATACAGCTTTACCCCTGAGTTTTTTTGTAAACTCCTGTCTTTTTCTGAATGAATCTTTGCTTGAAATGTACAACCTGACAGTGGAACCCTACAAATATAAGTGCATTTATTAAGAAATCATGTGAACCTCTATTATTGCACATAAACACAAGCCACTCAACTAATTAAACTCATTAAAGTAATTGTGTGCACCTACATTAATTTAGGTTGACCAAAGCAAAGGGTTTAAATACTTATGCAATCTTGATTTTTATTTTTGTCTTCCATATTTACTTTTACTTTTGTTACTTTGCTTTGAATATGTGGAGTAGGATGGATATATAGCATATTGTAACAAGTTAATTGCTACTTTAAAATGTTATGACTAAAAGCTTTAAAGCAACAGAATGTGAAACAAAAGTGTAAGGGTATGAATGCTTTGAAAGGCACTTTACATTTTATAATCTGAAGGAAGTTATTGAATTAGCCCAGTTAAGGTTTAAATGGACTATTTAGATATTGTCTGTGGCCTTACATTTTTAATGATCTGCAGAGGAATATAAAATAGCTTGGATACAGATCTAGATCTATAAATATATATATAAATAATGCATTTGAGTGTTTATTTTCCAATACTATTTTCTAATCTGCTATGTTTTTGAAACACTATAGAATTGGTGATTTAAAAAGCATGTGTAACAACTATGTGTTTTTCGGTACAGCTGGATGTGGGATTTGATTTAACAAGACAGCGTGGCCATCTCCTTATGTAACACCGAGTCTGTGTTCATTTCACGTAGAGCTAATTTAGTGTGACTGCACTGTATTATGGGGACACTGTAACAGCTGTTAAGGGGCTACATACCTTAACTGTGAAAGCAATAATGCATCTCTACAGCGGCAGCTACTGTAAATTACAGTGTAATACCCGCGTAGCATTCAGCAATGGGTCAGCAAGAGCACTCATCGGTGTACACTGTAGTTGGTGAGCTGTATTGGAGTCAGGGGTAGTCCACTGACTCCAATAATTCGCAATAATTCTGAGCCCCATAACTATGTTCAATTGAAATTACTCCTACGTCAGTTTCTTTTTCACATCTGTTTATAATGAAATTGCTGTGTCTAAAAAGTTATATGATAAAAAATACACGTCATAGGTGAAACTGAAGTGAATTTTGCAGTGGAACCATTTTTTTAAAAAACGGGTTGTCTCCATCTTCTCGTATATATTAATATATATGTATGTGTGTGTTAGTTATCAGAAAGCCGGTTTGTCCAATAATTGGAATGAATATACATGATGAATGCAAAACAAGACGTTAAAAAAATTATACAATTTTAAAATTAATCGATTTACTGTACTCTCAGCCTAAGACATCACTTTAGCTACCTATTCAGAGATTACATTTATTGACCATTTAGAATCTTTTACGTGTGCACTTTTCTGCTTTTTTGTTAAATGTATGACTGTACACTGTAACTTCTATTTTGAGAATGTATTAAATTATATTTTTTTAATAAAGTTTGCTGTGTTTACACAAGGGTGAAGATCTTTTGCTATCTTCTTGTCTCGGGAATTGAGCATTTGAAAATGCAACATCATTCCTCTCGCCTTCACTGTTTTTAGCTTTAATCATCTCATTTGGACGTTCCCGCGACGTAACTCAATTGGCCGCTGTTGCGTGCGGTCGCTCGCCTGTTCACGTCGTCCTGCGTGCCGCCTGCGTTGCTAAGCAGGCCGTTGCCATGGCCGTTTCCTGGGGAGTTTGAGGCCGCCCACGTCCAGCTCCGCCTCCTTCGCGGTTTCGTTCCTGTCTGTCAGAGGCGACATGGCGACTTGTGTCTCCGGCAGCTGTTCCGCACTTCGCTTACCGGCTTGGCTCGTCGCTGTTATAAGCTTTCTGGGTGCGTGTATCCTATGTCGGGCCCAGGCCACTCGGCTGTACTCGGCTGGGGACCCCCTCACCATCCTCGCCAGCGACAGTCTGAAGGAGACCTTGCACAACTCCTCTACAGCCTGGCTGGTGGAATTCTACTCGTCGTGGTGCGGGCATTGTATCCAGTACTCTCCGACCTGGAAAGCGCTGGCCGGGGACGTGAAAGGTACTGTGCACATTCTCCGATCAGCCAGTCTTGTCCGATATTCGTTGGCGTTACAGTCCCGTTTTGTCTTGTGAAGCCCTGGTGGTGCAAAAACGATTGCAGCGCTCTCAGAAGCGCAGGGCTGTGACAGTTCCCCGCGAGTTCGTGCTTACAGGCACGCTGCTCCACAGCGAAAACTTGAGCCCCTCAGCCTTGTTTTTAACAAATCTGTTCACCCCGTTACCTGAATCGACGTAGTATAACTTAAAGTAGGCAGTCGAACAGTAAAACCGTGTCTTTCGACACTAATGTTCCCGATTCCGCTTCTGTAGTCTGGACAGAGTGGTATTTGGTTCATTTCAATTCAGTTCATTTCAGTAGAAGCGCCCTTGAGTTTTCAATACGTACTGTGTACGTGCAGAACATTTGAATCCACCCAGGACGTCTTCCAGAGTTCTTACAGAGGGTCAAAATCATTAAAAAGTGTGTTGAACAAGTATTTAGAGCCATGAACTCAATCTTTAGTGGAAACACCTGTGGCAGCACATAGTAGCAGATCTTTCCAGGTAAGGCTCTGGCAGCTTAGCCTGGTATACTTCGTGCTTGTTCTGGGCAGATCTCCTCAAACACTCTCAAGATGATTGGGGATCATGTCAGTCTTTCATTCGTTTTCTTGTTCTTGAGCCACTCCAGTGTCGCTTTGGGTCTGAAAGCTGAATATTTAGACCGGTTTTACAGTAGGTCTTCAGCAGGTTATCCTTGAGGATTGGCCTGTACTTTGCTCTTCCATCCTTTTTCCCCTTTTGTCTCGACAAGCTTCTCAGTCTCTGCTGATGAAATAACGCTGCCATTGTGCTTGATCGTAGGGACGGTGTTGGCAGGGTTATTTGCTGCATTGTCTGCACTCGATGCACCGTTTTGCATTTAGACCAAAATGTTCCAGTTTTGTCATGTCTGACCACAACACAAATTTTGCTGTCTTTTTTGCTTGAATGGCTTGAATATGTTTAAGAAGTGTTTCTGAGCATTATCCCCTGTTATTTGTGCAATAATCATGTATTCCTGTCCACTTAATGAATTTCTCCACAGCTGGAAAATGCCTTGCCGAATCAGTCAGATGTTTCCATTTTTAGGCCTGTTTCAAAGTTGCCATTTGTAGCAAAACTACTGGAATGCGCAGTAACATCTTAACTGGTTACATATTTAAAGTCTTTATTTATTTGGCACCTTTTACTGCCAGGTGAAAGTTGTTAATGACCTTCTCATTGCTGCAGATGCTTGCTTTCCCACAGTTATCATACTGTTAGACCTTTTAAGCAGCCTTTGATCCTGTAAATTATAACATTCTGGTTAATCGACTGGAGCGATGTACAGGTTTAAGGGCCATGTTGTTGTTTCTCTCTTATTTTTCTGACAGACAATTTGTTAGCTTTGGCGATTTTAAATCAGATCCTAACCCTGTCTTCTCTGGTGTACCCCAGGGCTCAATCCTTGGCCTTTCCCTTTTAAGTATTTGTATGTTGGTAGGCCAGGCTATAAGAAAATAAGGTGTCAGCTTGCAATGTTACGCTGCTGATAATCGCCTCATAACGTACCTGTTTTCAGTGGCCTTCAATGCATAATCTGTCTTTTAAGCTTACAGTTATATGGGGTTTTATTGTATTTTTTTTTGTTCACTGTATTTTGAAACTGTAAAGGAACAAGTAAAGGTTTATTCCGTGCTGAAAAGAAGAAAAGAAACAGAACGTTTCGGCTGTGGAACCTTGGTGTCATCCAAACATACTATATGTTTTATTTATGTAAAGTGCCTTGAGATTGCTCTTTATTGAAAGTAACTAAGAAAAACACTAAATGTTTTATTACAAACTCCATGCAGGAGTTGAGATGGGTTTTTTTTTTTTTCAATAATGGTATCCTTTTGTGTGTCTAATGGAGAGAAAGCTGGGGTATGTGAAAAGACAAATTCCTACTGCAAGAAATTGTATATGGCTAATCAAGTGATCTTATATTACCTAATCTTTAGCCACCCCGTCATATAGGCTAGCTTTGAGACATTTTCTCCCATCTCAGCCACTGAACTTTTCAAAGAGACTGCTGACCTCGCAGTGACTTCTCCGACCATCTTCCCTCCTTTCCTGGTGCTCAGTTTGGAGGGATCCTGACCTAGGCAGTGTCTGGAGAGAATGACACAACTCCCACTTCTTCAGGATCGAAGAAGCCAAGCTCCAAGGGATATTCACTGTCTGTGATTTTTTTTTCTTTCTCTCGGAGAGAGATTTTTTCTATATCCTGGAGCTTGTTTGAAACCTCCTTTGTCTTTATGGTTTGAATCTTTGCTTGAAATTCCCTACCTGACTGAAAGACCTTGCAGAGACAGGTGGCGTTATTCAGAAAACACGTGAACCACTATTTTTCTACACAGAAAGACGCCACTCGACTAATGTGGACTAGTTTATATGTGTTTTACAGATATTAACTTTAAAGAATCATGAAAGCCAACTTTAAAGCCACAAAATGGGAAAATGTAATACTTTTGCATGGCATTGAATGCAATTTAAATTCTGTACATCAAATGTCCTGCATGTGATTAGGACTCCGTTCACTGGATGTTTTTATTTAACTCAATCTTCAGAGATGATGTTGTTTGCTGTTTCTGAAGACCTTGAACTATGAATATTTTTAAAGACTATTCTCGTCACCTTTACACGCATGTCTGTTGTAAAAAATACCCTGGACTCTAGTACGTATTTAATTCCCATTGGAAAGTAGTGGTTGTGAAATATATCAGTTGAGTCATTTCATGTATCTTCAGGAGGGACCCTGATGTGTACCTGCCTTTCCACTCCTGGCTGTCTATATTTGTACAGCTCTTAATCCGCCTGTTGATTTAAACACAGAGCGTCTGTAAGCACAGCTGTGTGTGGCTGAGCTCTACCAGCTGCTGTGTATATTGGTGCCTTCAGTTCCTCAGGGCCTCACATTCAGTGTGAGCGCCACGTGGCTTTGTAAACAGAAGAATACTAGTGTGGTTTAGTTTCAAAGGGTGCACTTTCACAGGAGATAAACTTGTTTCCGTGCTCTTCAGTCAGTGATGGGGGTAATTTAGATGACTGTGTTTTTAATAATAGATAAAATAGTCATATAGCTGTCTTTTTGCATTTCTGCATTTTGCAAAAGGTGCACTTGAACTTTTTCTTCTCTCCCTCACACTTTTGTAGTTTACCCTGATTGATTTTTTTGTCCCCTGAGGGAATTTTTTTGTGGACACATAGAACTTCTGTACATTTAAATATAATGCAAATATAAGGAAAAAAACATTTCACATCACTCTGTTGCACATGTATAACACATAACAACAGGTAACATTTATAACACATTACCAGACAAATTGCACACAAGTGGATTGTAAAGGTCAAAAATTGTGTTTATCCTTGCCGTTTGCATTGATAGCTTTAATGGGTAGTGGAATGTTTGTATCTGTTTGACTTACATTTGGGAACCCTAAAACATTTGCCAGAAGGAAGACGTTGGTATTCAGAATGGAGGATGTGGGAAGGATCTGATATAATTTTGAAGTTAAGGATATATGCTTCAGATCAACTGCTCCATAGAATAATTCACTGTATTAACAAGGCACAAACAGCTAACTTATTGTTTGACCATCAGTTGGTTGATGATTGTTTCAGATGTGTTTGAACTGGAATCAATTTAAAGGACTGTCAGTGAACTTTTCGAGTGAGTTTAGCACATAGCTGAATCCAGATGTGTAAAGTTTTCATTTAGGTAGGCATCGTCATGCTTGGAATTAAGCCGTTGTTGTGGTTTTTACCACAAGGCATTTTCCTAAAGGATGTTGAAGAATCCTTTCTTGAAAAGTTCACTTCTTTGCATTGTCCAATGATAATATGAATCAAATGAGACAAACGCAATTAAACCGTTTATTTGCCTTTTTAAATAGTAAGTATATGGTAGGTTGTTGTCCATTTAGCTATTTTTCTGGGAGGTTTTAAGACGGCTATAGTTGTTCAGGAAAGGCCCCTGATGAGAAGAGGCCATTTCGTCCATCAGGTCCATCGGTTTCCTCTTTCTCTAAAGTCCCGTAGGTGGAACTGACCGATCTAGAAATAAATCCCCAAGTATGAAATCAGCCCTCACCTGAATGTCTTTGGGAGGTGG